CCCCCCCCCCCCCCCCGGGAGCAGCGAGCAGCGGCCAGCAAGGCAGCAACGGGAGAGGCTACTATTTACCCCCCCCCCTCTCCCCCCTTGTGGCTGCTGCTGCCTGTGCACGTGGCCACCTGCAGTGCCACGTGACACTTTGCTATGGACTTGAAGACCCCCTATGTTTCAGGGGCTGCTCTACACCGGTGAGGGTATGCTCACACAGCATACCCTAGATCTGCAGATTTGCAGCAGCTCAAGATTTCGCCCTGGCTAGGGGGCTGTGTGACTGTGGCAGTAGGGTGGCTGATCAAGATCTCAGCCAACCCTAGATCATCATCATCATCCACCAGGGTACGCTCACACAGCACACCCTGGATCTGCAGTGTTGCGACTAGGGGCTGATCGAGATCTCAGCCCCCCTCCATCCTCCTGTTGGCTGGCTGCAGCGAAGGCCAAGACCCTCCTGGTCTTGGTATACCTTGTGCCCTTGGAGACACCAAGGGCCAGGTATCATCTCTCTCTCCCCTTTTCTTTCCCCCACCTTCCACTGCCTCTCTTCCCTCCTCTTCTTACCTTCCCCACCCCACCTTTTCTGCCACTAACCACTATCTTACCCTCTTTTCTTCATTTCTTTTTTTTTCTCTCCTCCTTCTTTCCTCTTACTTTCTTGATCACTCTCCATCTTTCCCCATCCTCTTTCTCTCCCATTCTCTCACCCTCCTCTCCCCCAACTACCAGCACATCATCCCCCACCTCCCACTTCATCTTTTTCTCTCCCCCACCTATTTCTTTCTCTTCTCCTTCACTTTTTCATTCCCATTTCCCCACTACTTCGAATTTTTTCTGTTTTTTTTTTCTTTTTTCCACCTCTCTTTTGATTTATCTTTTCTTTCTCCAAAAATTCGAAATATTTTTTTTCCCACCTTCTTTCCTCATTTTCTTATTTATTTATTAATTTTTCTATTTATTCTGAAAATTCAATTTTCTTGCCGGCAACCCTAAATTTGATTAGGTATTAGCCTTTCTTGATTTCGGCACACGTTTTGACCCCGTGGGGATAACGAAGTGCTGCCGAAATTTTCTGATTTTCTCTTCTGATTTTCTCTTACTTAGTCTTTTCGGCACACTTCGACCCCATGGGGGTAATGAAATGCTGCCAAAATTTTTGACAAATTAGATACTTCATTCCTCCCCACCTCCTCACCCACTTTTTTTTTTTTTTTTTTTTTTTTTTTTTTGCGGCATCTTGACACCTAGTGTGCTCACCTTGGTCTCTCCCTTCCCCTTGGCACATTCTTGACCCCGTGGGGGGTAGGGAAATGCTGCCGAAAAATTTCAAAAAATAAATATTGTTTTCCCTTCACATCTTTTTACTTATTTCTTTAATTATTTTTATTATTTATTTATTTCCTTATTTATTTTTATTTTCTCTTGAAATCTCGCTGTTTATTTATTTTTCTCCCGCCTTCCCCCCCCTATGCTTGCTCTTTTATTTTTTTGATTAGGTCACCGATACCCTACCCTAACCACTTAAACCTCAGTTAGGGTTTTCTTAGGGTTTTTGTAGGGTTTAGGGCTCTTCAACCCCCCCTTACTTCCCCGTCCTCTTCGGGCACCCTGGACCCGAACCACCCCTCCTCCTTCAACGGCGTCCGTGGTAGCCTTGCTAGCGCCGTTCGCCGCTTTCTACCGCGGACTTCCCCCTACGCCCTCCGCTCACGCGGACCTCTTCTGGCCCCCTCCAGTCCGGTCCGTCATCTCCCCATGGCCGACGGTGTGTCACACACCGCCGACACGGCGATGAGCACGGCATCGGGCTCCACACCCGTGTCGGCGGACCAGGGCCATCAGCCCCAGGGGGATCTGCACACCCTCCTCACCTCCCTCCTTGCGCCCATCCAGGCGCAACTCGCGACCCTCGCGCCCATCTAGGCGCTACTCGCGACCCTCGGGCCCTTACAGGCGCAGGTGGCGACCCTTGCCGTCGGCGTGCAGCAACTCCAGGATGCTGCGTGTCCTCCATCTCTTGGCTCCCAGTTCGGGTCCCCCGTCCTCCGACAGGGTAGCAATGGCGGAGCTTCCTCCTCCGCCGCCCCCGACTCGGCCATCTTGGTGACTGTCCACGCCCCTAACACGACGGCCTCCACCAGCCAGGCCCTCCCTCAATCCACGGGTGCACCCGCCCAGATTCCGGTCACGACGGCCACGGGACCACAACCCGCTACCATGGTCTCAGCTTTTCCAGGTGCCCCACTTCTCCCCCCTTTTCGCACGACCGCAGCGCCATCTGGCTCTACCCCTTGTGGGATGCCTCGCGCCGCTCGTGCGTCTCCTCCTGCCACACCTCGCTCGACCTATGTTCGAGGTCTCAAGGACGCGATCGCCCAGCTCCGAGCCGACCTCGCCCTCTCACGCCTTTACCCACCCCCACCCTCACAGGTGGCCGCGCCTTCCGGCGCACCCCCTTCGTCCTCTATTCTTCCTTCCATGCAGGCTCGCTTCCCTCGCCCTGCACCCTACCCATCTCCATCCTACCTCCTCCCCATCCGCTTGTCGGACATTCCCTTGTATGACGGTACAGGCATACGCGTGTCTAGGTGGCTGCAGTCTGCCACCCGCACGCTCCAGCTCATGGGCGCCACACCTGACACGTGGGTGGGTCACCTCTCCACGCGCCTGCGTGGTGCATCTTTCGACGCCTTGGAGGATTTCTATGCTTACTCCCTGCGTGAGGGTCGGACTCCGACCTTCATGGATTTCCAGGCGTTCCTCGAGGATCGCTTCGGAACCCGATATGACGTGACTAACGCCTTCGAGCGTGTCGTCACTACACGCTGGTCCGGCTCTGATAGCGCTGCCGGCCTGGATCGCCACATCTAGGTCTTTCAGGACGCCCGCCTCGTTTGTGACGTGGCGTTCCATCTCGAGGCTGCCCTTATCGATCGTTTCTTGGGCAGCCTCCCGCTCGAGTACCGCTCCGAGCTATGGCGGTACGAGTTCACATCGGCCCCGCAGGCTTACGACGCCGCCAGGAACCATGAGCGGATGCGAGCCCGTCTTCACCTCGCCTCCTCCTCCCAGCCTCAGCGCACGAGTTACACCTCCTCCTCCTCTCACGACACTTCCCAGCGTCGTTCCCCTTTCTGCGGTCACCCCCGCCGTTCCACGCAGCAGGGCCGCCACTTCTCGCGCCGCTTCAGCGCGCTCGAGTATGAGGCGCAGGACGCTGGTGCCCCGTCGTCGCTAGAGGGTGATCATAGCGATGACCTCGACCTCGGCGATGTCGTCCAGCACCACCTGGAGGACCCTACTCTCCCTACGGTTGAGCGCCTCCAGCTTATCCTCTCCACCCTTTCCCGGGCACGCAGCCGCCCTGGTCACGCTGGCGCGTCGCCCCCCGAGGTCCCTCAGCAGGACCTCCCTCAGGGCTTTGTTCCTCCTCGCGGTGTCCTTTCCGCTGAGGAGCACGCGGCTATTATGGGTCGACGTGGGTGTTTGCGATGCCGTCAGGACAGTCATACCTCCTCGCGGTGCTCTTACACCAACGCCCTTGACCGCCACTATGCTGACCTTTCCTGCCAGCGTCGTGCTTCATCCCCGCGACGCCTCCTAGCCACGGTGCAGTGTACACCTGCGCCCTCCTCAGTAGTGGGTTTCCCGACATCTCCGTCGCGGTTTGCCCCTCTCGCTAATGGAGTTGAGGTATCGCAGGACTTGACAGAGTATACTCCCCTCTCTCGCAGTACCGTCTACGCCTCCGCAAACCACCGTCTCCCCTCCTTCCCCGCCGCGACTACCGACGCGTCGAGCCATTCGCTCAGCCCGTTGTAGCGAGCAGCTCGCTACTCGCGAGGACGTTGTGTCCTCTCTTCTGGACTTGAGCATGCTCCAAGCTCGTCAGGGGCGACTCACCCTCCATGTCGCTGCACTACGTCGCCTTCTCGCCATCCTCTCAGACCCTGACCGCACCCTCCCGATCATCCCAGTACGATTGGGGACCTCCACGAGGGTGTACTCAGCGTTGTGGGATTCCGGTTCTCGAGGCGACTTCATTCAGCCCCGTGTGGTGAAAGAAGCCCGCTTACCTACGACCGGGTCTCCGTCTCCCATCTCTGTCACCCTAGGGGATGACAAGACCCAGCGCTTCTTCAATCAGACGGTCACCGACCTCCCTTTCTTCCTCACTCTCAAGCCGACTTATCGTCCCCCGGCGTCTCATCGCCACCGCTCCTCTGCACATTTCGATGTGATGGAGACGGGGTACGACTTCATTCTCGGCACTCCGTGGTCTCGTCGGTTCTGCAGCACCGAGGCCGATTGGGTGACCAACACTCTCGTTCTCAAAACAAAGTGTGGACAGACGTATCGCATACCTTTCATAGGTACCCCCGCGACACCACGCCCCGATCCTCCTCCCCTGGAGCCTTCCGTGCCCACACCACCTCCTTCTATCACTGTCACCTCGCCTCTGCAGTTCGCCCACTTCATCCGACAGGACGATGTCACCTTCTTTATGCTGGACGTGACGGATCTCTTACACTATAATCCACCCTGTCCCGACGCCGAGCTCATCCCTCTGGAGCCAGATCCTCCTTCTATCTCCATGGCTCCCATCTCTACTTCCGTCCCTCCCCCGTCTATCGAGTCCACTCCACTGTCGCGCGTTGACGCTGACGCTGAGGAACTCGCACGATATACGGCTGACCTGGAGCCCGCAGTTTGTGACCTCATCCGAGAGTACCACGATGTTTTTCCATCGTCGTTCTCGTACGCCGGCATCCCACCGATGCGTGACGTCGAGCACTCCATTCAGCTTGTGCCTGACTATCGTGTTCACCACTAGGCACCCTACAGACTCTCGATCCCCGAGGCCACCGAACTCAAGCGTCAGCTTGAGGAGCTCCTGAGACTTGGTTTCATTAAACCCAGCAACTCCCCGTGGGGTGCACCCGTCCACTTTGCTCGCAAAGCAGATGGAACTCTTCGTCTCTGCATCTACTACCGCGGTCTCAACCGCTACACGATTAAGAACAGCTACCCCATGCCTCGTTCCGATGAGTTGTTCGACCGCCTAGCAGGCAACCGCTTTTTTACGAAGATTGATCTTCGTAGCGGTTACCATCAGATCTGCGTCGCTGCAGCCGRCCARCCGAAGACCRCGTTCCGATCGCGATTCGGCCACTACGAGTTCACGGTGATGCCATTCGGCCTCACCAACGCACCCGCTACCTTCCAGAGGGCGATGAACGACATCTTCAGGGACATCCTGGAGCAGTACGTTCTCGTCTACCTCGACGATATCCTGGTCTATAGTTGTACCCTTGAGGAGCACCTCAGACACCTCCACGACGTCCTTGACCGCTTGCGCAGACATGGCTTCTACGCCAAGCTGAGCAAGTGTCGCTTTGCCCAGCACAAAGTGGATTTCTTAGAACACTACGTGTCTGACCAGGGTCTCCACACGGACACGGCGAAGATCACTACTATTGCGGAGTGGCCCGCCCCCACATCCGCCAAGCAGCTTCGCAACTTCCTAGGCCTGACCAACTACTATAGTAATCTCATCCGGGGATACGCTAGGTATTCCTACGTCCTTACCTCCACCCTCCTTCGGAAGAACCCACCCTGGGCTTGGACACCCCTCCACGAGGACACCTTCCGCGCCCTCAAGAAGGCGGCGGTTCTTCACCTACCCGATTTTGATCGCCCTTTTATCCTTACCACCAATGCGTCAGCCTTTGCTGTAGGAGCAGTGCTTTCTCAGGTCTTCCCCTCCTCTCCTGATTCCTCTCCTTTTCGTATCCCTCGCTTCCCACCACCTACCCCTACCACTGCTTCCCAACTGACGCCTACTCGTCCAGCTACTGACGAGCCTTCTATTGACTATTCTCCTACCATTGTCGAGGACGACATTGTCGAGTCTCGCTCAGGTGATTGTCCGATAGCCTTCTATTCCCGTCAGCTTCTGTGCGCCGAGATAAACTACACCGCTGATGAATGTGAGGTTATCGCAGTAGTTTATGCCGCTCGGCACTGGCGTCACTACCTGCACGGGGCACCGTTCACGGTGCGTACGGACAACTCTGTTATCCAGGCTTTTCTGACAAAACCGAAGCTCACTCCTCGACAGGCTCGTTGGTGGCGCGACCTATCCGAGTTTAGTTTCACCACTGAGCACATCAAGGGTGAGACTAATCGGGTCGCAGATGCCCTATCCCGACGCCCTGACCACGACCAGGAGCAGATCCAACTCTCTTCCATCTCGGTCACCACTGTCCACCACTCGGTGATCGACGAGTTTCGCCCTCAGTATCGTCACTGCCCCGACTATCGCGACATCCACGCGACCCTTCGGAGTGGCAAGACCGTCCCGAACTACTCTCTCGGGGACAACGTTCTCGTGTACTGGCACGGTTCACAGGGCACCAGAGAGCCCCGTATTTGCGTTCCCTCCACTGGACAGCTACGTGTCCGCGCAGTAGCAGAGTTCCATGACCAGGCAGCCGCCGGTCATATGGGCTTCCACAAGATGTTTGCTCGTGTGAGCCGCCTGTACGTCTGGCCGAAGCGCAAGGACTTTGAGAAGGACTACATCGCAGAGTGTCCCACCTGTCAGGAGGTGAACAGTGCGAACCACGTTCCTTATGGTTTGCTCCAGCCTCTTTCTATCCTTGAGGGTCGTTGGCAATCCATCTCGATGAACTTTATCGGTCCCCTTCGTCCTCCGACCCCTCGCGGTCATGATGTTATCCTGGTCGTCGTCGACCGCTTCACGAAGCGTGCACTCTTTGTTCCGTGTCGCTATGCCATCAGTGCACGTGAGGTCGCCGACATCGTGTTTGACCGAGTCGTGCGTGACCACGACTTACCTCTGAGCATCATATTTGACTGTGACCCACGCTTTACCAGCCGATTCTGGCGACTGCTCCACGAGGTGTACGGCACTCAGCTCCGCTTCTCCTCGTCTTACCATCCTCAGACTGATGGTCAGACAAAGATCACGAACAGGACTCTCGAAGATATCCTCCAAAAGATTGTTCGTGACGACCAGCAGTGGGATCTCAATCTTGCCCACGCGGAGATAGCCTACAACCACGCCGTCTCGCCAACCACGGGGATGTTGCCTTACTATTGCGACCTCGACTATCACCCTCGTTTTCCTGCGGACTTCCTCCGATCATCACAGATGCACCCCGACACGAGTTGTCCCGCGCTGGATGATTGGGTTGCACACATGACGCCGATCATGAAAACCACACATGAGCACATAGCCGCTTCCCAGACCCGCATGGCAGCACGTGCGAACCGATCGAGGATAGATCACCCATTCAAAGTCGGTGATGATGTGGTTATCGACGCCCGCCACTTACAGCTCGAAGCGGACACGCTTCGCAAGTTTCGGCGTCGCTTCTTTGGACCATGCCGCATCCTCCAGGGCGTCGGTTCTGATATGGCATCTAGCCTGGTCAGCTTCCGTGTGAAGTTGCCCGACTACCTATGCCAGGCTAGTGTGCATGATGTCTACCACGTCTCGTTACTGCGTCCTTACCGCAGACCGTCTGAGCGTTTCGTTGGACGACCATACGAGCGCCCTCCACCCATCATGGTGGACGGCCACGAGGAGTTCCTCGTTTCAGACATCATTGGTCGCCGAGTCACCGACGATACCCTCCCCACGTTGAGTATCTCGTACGTTGGAAGGGTTACCCTGATGAGGAGGCTACCTGGGAGCCCCTTGAGCACTTGCAGCACACTCGCATGTTGGTGCGTGCCTATGACCGTGCTCGTCGTGCTGGGTTCACTGCTCCTCCTCAGCCCACCGACCCTCCCCCTTCTCCCCCGGCTGAGGAGACCGCTGAAGTCGAGCCTGCTCCATCTGAGGCAGACCTTCAGCAACAGCCGGATGCTTCTGAGCGTCCACAGCGCACTCGTCGTCGTCCTACTCGATACGAGGATTGACTCTGACTTACCTTCCCACGTCTTTGACTTCTCAGTACTCCACCCACTCCAGTTTTGCTCCTTCAGCTCATCGACGTTGCGGTTCTTCCTCGACGACATTCTGGACTTCTCATCGTGGACGTCATCGGCAGCTTCATGGACTTCGTCACGATCAGCTCTGCCAACTTCAGACGTCATCACTCCCTTACCACTTGACCCTGTACAGTACCCTGCTTGTGTCGCATGATGATCTCCCCTTTAGCCGGGTTCCTCTGAGTTGGGCTCTCCCTTGGTATACGCATAGGCATCGGGACCGTAGCGTTGCCCTGGCTTCCCATCTTACGGATCTAGCTCCGACTTCCCTCACTTTAGTAGTCATTTGCATGATTCCCTTACCCATCATCTTTCTACCCTTCGCCGGCCCTTACGCCCTAGTTAGGCAGCCCCGCATGCTTCATCTAGGTGCGCCCAGTATACCAGGCTCCCTTGTTCCCTTGCATGGTCGACCCTCCATAGCTGTCACCCCTTAGTCGAGCATTACCCGCCCTGATGGTCTATCTGTTAGGATCATTCGTTCTATTCGCTCCCAGTTCGCTACCCTCATTGAGCCTGATGACATGTGTTTCCCCCTGTCACTATGTGTGGATGCCCTTAGGAGTTTTTGACCCCTAGGCTGCATTCGCCACCCTCAAAGACCATCCCACCCTTTGGTTTGCGACACACTTCTCCTGTGACATATGGTTGACTTGTTATTGCTTTGTTGCTCTCAGACTGAGGCTACTGCCTCTGACATTTCTAGGATTTAGCTGTTCTGCTTTTGCTGTTCTTATGACTTATACACTAGTCAGTTGTTCCCAGACTGAGGCTACTGCCTCCAACATTCTAGGATCTAGTTGACACTACTTTTTGCTTTCCTATGACATGTAAGCTAGTTAGTTGCTTTTGCTTTCCTAGGACATGTATGCTAGTTAATTGTTTTTGCTTTTACTTAGGCTGTTAGCTGTGACATTGCTGTTTTGTGACATTTTCTATCCTAGGTTGCATCGCATGGACTCATCATGGAGCTTGCTCYGCATCCTAGGCTACTCAGGTTTTCTTTTCCTTTGGTAGAGTTCCGCTTCTTGGCGGAAGCGTGTTTGCATCTAGGCGATCCATCACAGGCCGAGGATCGTGTAGCGGACCTCTAGTTGGCCTGTGAGACCAGCCCCCTGGCCTGTTCTCACAGGCCTGTGTTCTATTCGGGGGCAGTCCAGTCCAGTCCAGGCCGGTACCTCTGTCGGTACCAGCCAGTCCAGTCCAGTCCAGTCCGTCCGCTGGGGTATACCCCAGCAGTTGTCTGTTTCGTCCTCATTCTTCACTTGCACATTTTGGAGTACGTGCGTTGGAGTCTTGCGTGGGGAGCTGCGTTGTGCCATCTCGCTCCCCCCTTCTTCCTCCATCTCCATCTCTACCACTAGCGGAGCACGACACCTGGTGGGTCCGCTACACCCAATCCAGTTAAGTCACATAAGGATCCTTTAGACCATCATGAATTTTTTATATGACAACTAAAAAAATAAAAGTATCATTTCATAAAAGGCCTACTACAGAGTGTGTATCAAACGTGAGTGAGTCTTGATTCAGTGCCCCACCCTATTATCAAGTAGTGTCAAACGTGAGTGAGCCTTGAATCAATGCACTGCCCTATTATCAAATACTAAGGCAACTCATCCTTGAGTCTCTTTCCTATTACTTTTCCTGTACTAATCAAATCGTCATCCATCAAGCAGCAAGACAAATCTTCTTTAAGTCTAAGTAATACTACGCGATCAAATCATAATTCATTAGATAGTAGGATGACTCGTCCTTGAACCTCTTTCCTGCTACCTTGCCAATGTCATTCAGATCATCATTCAATAGGTAGTACGACTCATTCTTACGTCTTTATCGTACTACCTTTCGGACCAACCAATCAAGACCCAAACAAGTCATACACTCAGATCTCTATTGACTAATTCGATTACAAATTTAAACAATCGAATTTTGTTGGAGGCAGATATTCCAACATTTTAGTCAATTCCAATAATCATCGCGCTTAAACGAGTCAAATCTTTCATATGAGTGTACTTTCAGCCACACCCGTCCCCTGCTATGTTTGAGAATATCACCATTGCACTAAAATCATCCCAAAATCGATTTCAATAAATTACAACTAAGAATATGCAACTATAGTTCCTGCTCTAATTATTGAAAGACCGATCACCTCATCCTTCCTCACAGCTCGGACAGAAAGTTATTACAGTTTCCTTGAACGTGTAACCGAAAAACCGCCGCATGTGAGAGCCGCATGTCCCTTCGGATTCCATCTTCCCCTTAGTGGATTGTTTAGCCATGCATTTCTAAAGTAAAAAAGCTTCGTTGGGGACCCTTTGCTATTAGTTTCTTGTTCTACAACTAGGCATGTGATGATCCTATATGCCAATCATTTCTGCACACTTCCACCTGATTGAACTCTTTGTTACATCATTCAAAGCACAAGCTCTACCATACAGCCTAAACCAAGCATGAACACCATATATTTAAACCACCCGTACCTCGCGCAGCTATAAAAAAAAATCCGCGACCGTTAACRCGCCGCAATTTTAGGGGGGTCGGGAGAGGCTTGGCATGGCAACGGGGCAGGAAGCTGGTGGCCCCATGGGAACCTCCCACAAGGACTGCAAGATGTCTTGGTGGTGTGCGATGCGGCAACGCGCAGACAGTGGTAGGAAGGAGGGGGAAAAAAACAAAAAAGAAAATGGACGAGGAAAAAAAAATAAAAATCATTGCTTTTTTTTTTTTTTTTTTTTTTTTTTTGGAATAATGTATTTGGCTTTACTTCTGCACCGCGTCATATGAATCTGAGGGCAATCACTCTCAGATGCTGGTTTCTCATTTCCCCGTTTTTGTTTTTCGTTTTTTTTTTGGGAAGAAGATTGTTGGCTGTTTGTGTGCTTGCTCCTCATGATAGACGGGGAGCATTAATTGCCTCAGCTCCCGAAGAGACCGTAACGATGCAAATTCGAATCATGTATCTGGCTTCATTATAATGCTGTCCTAGATCCGCTACCACCTGTGCTCTCCTAGATCAGATTCATTCCTTAATTATAATGCTTGCATGCCTGCGCGGTGACATAGCGTGAGGAAAAGCGTATGTGTGCTTCTGGCTGCGGATGTCGCCTGAAGAGTGGGACAAATTATTGTCGGGCGAGTGTTGTGTGTATGCCCTGTTGTCTCTTTGTCATAAACCGACATATGTTGGTAAAATAGTGCGCTCCGTGAAGGAAAGGTGGAATGAGCACTGTCGTGCGATTAAAGGTGTTAGTAGGCAGCATGTTCATGTATGGATTCGTAAAATCGGCTTTAAACACTATATACCTATTCCAATCTGGTTTGGGGATAAACTGGCGGTGGAAGGCATGTAGCTCAAGATAATTAAGAACCATGATCTAGGTCTGAATGCGAGAGGAAGAACTCGTAGAAGGAAAGTCCGCCGCTGTCGTGGGAAAAATGATTCTCAAAACCCTCCAGTAACTGTTTGTCATGAACCTTTGTTTTTTAACTGTCCTACTATAGATGTGAGGCATGATCCTGAAACTCCTAGGTAAGGGTAGGTATAAGAAGGCAGGGGTATGTAATAACCCAGGGGAAAGCTTGGAGGTTAGTAAAGCTATTATTTGGTTTTTCTAAAGTTGAGATTAGTAATGAGAAGCTGCTTCTTTAGGATTCAAAGCCTTTGATTGAGCAGGGGGGGCTCTGGGCAATTACCTCCATTGTTCAAACAAAGACCCGGACGGAAGTTAAGAAAGCCTGTCTCTTATACACATCTAGATGTGTATAAGAGACAGGGGGGGGCTCTGGGCAATTACCTCCATTGTTCAAACAAAGACCCGGACGGAAGTTAAGAAAGCATACCTGATTGCTTTGCTGCAAGCACCATGGAAGAGGAAAGAATTTTATACTCTCTCGCTAGAGGAACTGATTGATTTGAATGACAATGTGAAGTCAATTAACCAAAGGAGAGAGAGGCAAATTGTYAGGGGAATCCTCACCAACGTGTTTGAGCGTAAATTTGGTGTTAATCCACGGCGGAGCATTACGGGGAAAATCCCGTTTTGTACTACGGTTGATAAAAAGAAGGTGGAGATGGTTGTTAAAAATTAGGTGAAGGGCAAAGTGCAGCCACTATCACTAGCTAACCTGTATGCTAGAAGGTCGAGAACTCTGTGGTTGAAAGCCCACTCAGTTGTCGACCTTCTGCATAACCAAAAAAACTTTGCGCAGGCGCGGAACTTTGAATGCGCATGTGTTGGGTTCGACTTTTCTCGGTTGAATGGGCATGTCACAGTTAAGCTCAGTGAAGTCGCCGGTATTCATCCTTTCCTTTTTAACGCCAAGAATGTGCCCTTTCCAGACACTCATACCACCAAGAATGTGCTGGCTCTGGCCTGTAATGATGCTCTAGATGTTCTTCGGAAAACCAGCTTGGTTACCGAGGATATCCAGATTGAAAGTTTGGTTGTTTGCAAGCCTCGCATCTCTAGACCTGCAAACTGTGTTCTCAGTGAGTATTTGAAAGGGGTGGGGCAATCCCTCGATGGGTTGGTTCTGTCCCCGCTGGATCATAATACCAGCGAAACTTGGATTGAGTGTCCGACACTGTATGAGGAAGGCCTCCGTAAGATTTTCCTAAAAAATAGGAACTATGATCAGATCCATAAATCAGAGGAGGAAGTGATTTTCGGGATGAAGGAGARGTATGTGAAGTGTTTTTTTGACAAGGTTGCGCCATGGGATCATAAAGGGAAGTTGCAGCATGCTTATATCCTRTCGAAAGAAAAGGATAAAATGAAGAAGCGACCGATAGTTCCCTCCTTCAACAGTCCTTTTCGTGCCGCGTCGGGACTATTGTCCACGACACTTAACTCCCTTATCAAACGYGTGACCCTACCACARTTCAAYATGGGGGCAATTAGTGACTTAAAAAAGGAAGTTGCAAAGATTAACAAGCATGGTGAAAAGATGGTTGACATCGGATTTGAAGTCCGTACGTACGATATTAAGGAAATGTTCACTCAATTGCCTCAC